CTGCAATTGTTTCCACTATGTAGAAACATAACCTTGTAACTTACGTGCGACATATTTGGCTTGCTTTTCTTCAGAGATTTTCATACACTCAAGGAATTTGTCAACTTTGCGAAACCAATAAATAAAATTCTCGGCATGACAAGAAGCATTAAAATAGGGAATTTCTAGTGGTACTTGATAATTTGAAAAGTCATGATTGATGTAATTATTGCTATTGAACACATCACTGAATCTTCGTTGTCGTCTTACCGACTAGTATTTACCATAATCCTCGAATAACGCATCTTCAGATTCATCCTCATTATCATATTGATAACAAGAAGATCGTCTCAAGACGTTGTGGTTAGTAGGCTGGCCTTGGGCAAATCTCATAGCGCGGTTCCTATTAACATTGTGACTAACAGGTTGGCCTTGGGCAAGTCCCTTGACTCGAATCCTATTAAATCTTTCTCTACGATCATCGTCAATAGAGCTTGTGCTTCCTCTTTCGATAAATGATATCGAGTTAGGAGAAACCTTGCTCTGATACCACTTGACGTAGCGGAATACATGGGGACTAGATATCGTTCTAGCAGACGAAAGGGGCTCTCGAATCCACGAGAAAAATAAAACCTTAAATCCACAAAGAAGAGAAAATATCTTAATATTATTGATTGAATGAATAAAAGTTGTATAAATGTTATCTTTGCCATGAGGCTTACATAGCTATTTATAATAAACTAAACCTAATACTTGTAGGAAAAGTAATTTGTTTGGTTTTGTTGATGGTAAAAGGTTTTTTTTGAACGAATAGGTTTTTTGAACGAATTGATGTTAAAAGGTTGAAAATGTCATTTGCTGGAGTAGAGCAAAAGGTCAAGGATCAAAGCAATGGATCACTTTGATCTAGTCTTAAGAAGAAATTACTAGTCCATGTCTGCCACTGAAGGTCCTATAGTTGATCATGGACCCCAAAGATTAAGTGGGTGATTAAAGAAAAAGTAAAACAGGATTATGCGTTTTACATGAAAATTAAGAAACCTTAATCTCCCGGTAAAATAGAATATTAAAAAAGAAAAGAAAAAAGGGAAACCCAATCAGAGTTCAAGGCACAGGCTATGGGCTATTATCCTTTGACTAAGATAGCCTTGATTCAAATAAGTTATTACTTTAGTTATGCTGTCACTATTACTTCTTTGGTTCTAAAAAAAAAATTCCTTTTGAAGAATTTAATTTTTTTTGATAATATAATTATTATACTTTAAAATAAAATAGTAATTTTTTAAAACTATCATTTGGTAGTACAATTGTTACACTTCAAATAATGTTAATGAATTTAGTTGAAGGACAAAATAGGAAATTTATAAAATTTTAATCCTTAATTTTTGAAAAAAGACTAATATTTTGGGATAATAAAAATGAAATAACAGATTATTTTAAAACGAAAAGAGTAAATACTAGTTGGTAAGTATTATATGGTGTTCTCTATGTAATGCTTTTGACAAATAAAAAATTAAACTCGCTAGCAAAAATGAGTTACTATATTCCATTGGTAAACTTTTCTTCTACACCATTAGTTTGAACAATTACATTAATAATGTCACATAATACTTCAAGAATATATAATAATTATCTATTTTAGTTGGGAAAAGGCTAGTTGGATGTGTATCATATGTACCTTATAATTAAAGGAAAAAAATAGTATAATTATATATTTTTTGAGTCATAGCTAAAATAAAAAATAACAAAAATCATAACCAAATATTACATGAGGCACAATCAAATTTTTCATGACTCATAACTAAAATAATGTTATAACTAAATAACAAAATTGGTTATAATTAAAGCAGAAAATGACATAATTAAGGTCACGTTTATTTGGCTCTACACGATGGAGAGGACTAAGAATACGGTGAGATTGAATGAGGAGATTATTAATGTGGTGATATTAGGTTGGAGATATAAGATAAAGAGTGTTTGTTTGTACGCCATTGGATTAGTAATATCATAGATGTTATTATTACCTTAAATTAATATTTTTAAATTTTTAGTATTTTTTTAATATCATAATTTTTTAATAATTTTTAAATCCATGTAATTTAGAGACACTTAAAAAATATAAATTTTGAGTAAAAATTATTTAAAATTTCACTAGCTATAAAAAATTTAGTATTTATTAAAAATATAAATATTTCTTTTTAAAAAAAATTATTTGAAAAAAATACTATTAAAAATATTTTAATTCATCTTATTATAAACTAGCCAATGCAAATTTTGAAAAAAAAAAAAAACTACATGAAATTCCATAAATACCGTCATTCTAACATCCTATTTGATGTAAGACAAGGGGCATAATGGTCTTTCAACCATTAATCTCATCACTAAATTTCTAATCTTATGTATTTTCCTTCCATGCTAGTCCAACCATGGAGGGGATTGGGTCATGTTTGTTTGGGTGGACATGAGCTTGGGATTGGACTAATAGTCCAATAAAATTATTAATCCAATGTTTGGTTTAACAATTGAAGTATGGACTAATTATTTTAAACTTGACTACTAGTTAAGATAGGATACAAAATCCAACGGATTCGTAATCCTAAGACTATTAGTCATGGAAATGCTAATCCAATCCGCCCAAACAAACATGATATTGGTCTAATTCCTTTACTCACGAAGCCAAGCAAACATGACATAAGGATGCATATAGTACATCCCTTTTAAGGGGATATATATTAGAATTTCCCAATTCTAGTTGGGCACTGGTGCGTAACTAAGAAAGCAACGAGGCTTAGTCAAATTGACAATTGTGGGTGGAAAGACTAATTCCCATAAGTGTTAAATTAACAATTGATTTTTGTCGATAATTTTTTTTTTTTGGTGCGTGATAGAAAACATTTTAGATATAAGAAATTAGAATTGTAAATAAATCGAGTAGTAAATTTTTTAAAATTAACTTTACAATTTAATAAATTTTAAAATATGTTAAAGTCTAAGAAAATGTTGTACCATATGCACTTTACCGCAAAATATATAATTTTATCACAAAATTTCTTAATGTTAATTACAAAATGAGTAACCTTATAACAAATTGACGTAACAAAATGTCCAAAATTTGTGATTAATATTTCAAAAGTTTGTAACTTAGTCAAAATATTTTTTGTTACGTCAATTTGTGATAAGATTACGTATTTTGTAGTTAATATTATGAAATTTTATACTAAAATTATACATTTTATGGTCGAAATGTATATGATATATCCCAAAAAAGATGCACACTAAAAAAGAATTATAAAATTTAATTTATTTATACAAATTCTTTTTAGGAAAACTTACTGATAAGTCCCATGTAACAAGTTCAAAACCCAACTAATTCCAAAACAAAATACTTGCACCAATTAGTCCAACACATTTTTAATTGTTACCAAAAAATCCTTTTTTTTTAATTTATAGACACTGTTCACATTTTACTACCGTCGGACTTCCGTTTAACGGTCGCCGGAGGCTCACCGGAATGTCTAGAATATTGCCGGAAAAAAAAAAAAAAAATAACATTTTTTAGAACTGTAAAATTTTACAGTTTTAAAGAATGTTATAAAACTGCGAAATTTTACAGTTTTAAACCATGATTCATTCCAGCACCAAAAAAAAAATTTGAAACTGCAAAATTTTACAGTTTTCACCGCCTGTAACTAAAACTCGAAAACTGCTTGTTCAGAATTCGAAATTTTCTCCATTAGAACAGAAAAACAGAAGCGTATAGCAGAGAGAGAAAAAAAAAAAAGAGATCGAAGGGGAAAGACGGATGTCTAACCAAATCTGTGTAGATCTACTCAGATCTGATGTAGATCTGAGTAGATCTATATCAGATCTAAGTAGATCCATTCATCTTCTTCGTCGGAAAATATATCATCTTCTTCGTCGGAGTTAATTTCAATGCTTGGTGGTTATCAATGAACCCCGATCAATGGAGAAATATATGATCACCGGTGGTCCTCTTCCATGACAAACACGGTGACAAAAAAATGTAAAAAAAAAAACGAGAGAGGAAGGGAAGCAAAAAGCAGAGAGAGAGGAAATGACTTTTGGGTGTAGTGAAAAAGTTATGAGATTAAATGGAGATTATATGTTTCCCATGGGACCTATGGATAATTTCCCCTTCTTTGCATAATAAATATAAAATTATTTAATTTATTTAAATTTACCAAACCCAATAGATTCTATTAAAGGTAGTTGCCGCTCGCACAACTATACACGTCTCTTGTAAATCCAAGCTGGATTGTCATATGTCAACAAATAAAAAAAAAAAAATGAAAAAAAAAAAATTTTACAAAAAAGAGAGTAAGATTATGGAAGGGAGTTTGCTTTAGTACATATTGTTGAAGAAAGGGAATGTCGAAAACATAAAATAATAATTTTAACTATTCTCTTACACTCAAAAAGAAAATACTGATTCTTATCCATTCTCTTACATATCCCTAACCCTGTTTGACTAACCCAATAAAAGTCCTATTTGATCCCATATTTTATTTATTTATTTATTTATTTTGTTTTGCTCGAGAACTAGCAAAATGTAAGTTGGGGGTATGATTGAAACCTAAATGTTACATATTTGGTCCACTAAAATACATTTTATTAGTCCATTTATTTTTACTATTTTAGAATTTTTATGTGTTTTATATATTTTTGGTGTTTGCATGTAAATTAATGTAAATAATATATTTTAGATATTTTATCTATTATATTATATTAATTATAAAATAAATTAAAAAGAAAAAAAGAAATCAAAAGAGGGTGTCGGCAACAGTCGCCCTCAATTGATATATATATATATATATATATGTATATATCTGGCCCACTAGACTTGTTGATTTGGGAAGGCAATCCCATGCAAGGGCCCAATTAAAGTCTAAGACAAAGCAACGTATGAATTTACTTCTAAGAGGTTCTGAATTTGAGACTTTAGAGGAAACACACCCCTAAATCCTAGGCCATTACCACCGGCCCAACCCTTAATGAATTAATTTTTTTTTTTTTTTTTTTTTTTTTTTTTTTTTTTTTTTTTTTGTTTTCAAAAAAATTAATATTCTAGTGGAGGTGTTATTAGGCCTTGTACAACTCTAATATAATAATTTAGAACAATTTATTTTGTTACAGGCAGGTAGATTGTTGATTAAAAAAATTAGATTGCTTTGATAATTATAATTATATATTTTATTAATATGTTTTTTTGTGTGTGTGTGTGTGAAAAATGGGCATAAAAGATAATTTTAAACATATACATCATTTTCTTAACAGAAAAATATAATAAAATATGAAGTGATTATCAAAACAATCTAACTTTTTTTCATAAATAATTTATATGCATAATCAAATAAAATGAATAGTTCAAATTATAAAATGAAACTCATGATAAACCTCATAAAGCCCAACTTCTCAAAAAACAAAAACTTATCCCTTTTGGAAATAATTTTATTTGGTTATGACTTCAAGACTAATATACTAATAGTTGTATTATAGTGAGGGTGTAGCGAAGTGTTTGAGGGGGGAGGGGCTGGTCTGGTGTGGTGACGATGGGTGGTGGGGTTTAAATTTTAGGTTAAAATATATTTTCTATTTAAACAAGTGGACCATTAACCTTGCATCATTGCTGTGATGACATGAGTGAAATTATTGTTATAAATGATGATCACTCACAATTGTTGGACAAGAGGTAGGCAATCAATGTTGACTTTGTGTTTGATTGGGAGATAAGATAAGAGATTTGAAAAGAGAAAGAAAAAAAGTGTGTGAAATTAGATAAAATATAAGTATATTTTGTTAATATTTCATTTATCTTTTTACTTTTTCTTTCTAAAGGTGTTTTCGAAAAATGGTTAAAAGTTATGTTTTGACTTTTTTTGATTTTTTGGTAAGAGAGGGAAGTAAGTTAAAAGCTGCGAAGTGATTTTTAACCAACTTCTCAAAATAGGCTTAAATCTCTTACCAAATCTTCCAACCAAACCTAGCATGGCTGTGCTCTCTTTCAGGAATAATACAAACCAGATCTCAACGGGGTAGAGAGCTGGTGAGGGCGAAGCTACCCTTTTGCAGCAATTTAAAATATTTTTACTCTTCAATAAGAGACAATAATTGATTTTTATAAAAATAAAGGTGTCATTTTCGTATATTGTCATAACATAAAAAAGTGATTTGGCACCCAATTGTTTGGTCAAAATTAGAACTGTGTAATTATTGAGTAATCCTAATCAATTGGGTTAACTTAGGTTTCGTTTGGCATATCCAAATAATAATTATTTTATTTTTTTTTCACAAAAGTTAAAAAAACTGAAAAAATAATCTAAACGAACTTTTTAACCAAAGCTAAAATAGTCAAAAAATCAAAAAATTAACTAAAAAAACCACATGCCAAATGACACCTACTTCTACATAATCTTATTGATTATGTAAATTATTTTTTGTGATGATTGTTGGGTTTGGTGACAGTTGATTTTTAATTATTGTTCTGATATTTGTAATAAGTATCCTATTGATGACCAAAAAAAAGAAGAAATTATTCAGTAATTTGGAGTACTATGTAGATAATACTAGTATACTACATAGTATTATGGGATATTTAATAAATTTCTATTAAAGCCACAAAAGCAATTAATAGATTAACTTTTTAAATAAAAAGAAGAAGAAAATATTATTATTGTGAAAATAAGAAAATGAAACTTAAACAAATTGAAATATAAAAAAATATATACAATCAATCGTAATGTTTAATTGAAATATAACTACTTTTATTTTTTTGTATTGCTTTTTAGAAAAAAAAGGAAAACAACATAAATAAATATATATTTTTGGGTGTTCTGGTTGGTCATTGGCTCCTGTAATTAAGAACGTAGAAAATATTTCAAAGTAGAAAAATCTATGTAGATTGACAATAAAATATATAATATAGATTTAAATTTAATATGGTGTTAACAGAAAAAAGAATGACAACATTAATAAAAAAAAATTTTTGTGTGCCGTTTGGTCCATGGTTCTTATAATTAAGAGCCTTCAAAATATTTGAGAGCAAAAAAATTAATCTGTGTACATTATTAAAAATATGACTTTTTGCATTTATTTTTTGCAACCGGTTATTTAACTGTCGCGAAAAAATTACTTTTTACATTACAATCTCATTTTACTTGACCCAATCGTGGTCTTAACCCAAAAAATAAAAAAAATATAAAAAATAAATTTGTAAAACTTGACCTGTGTCCTTTTTTTCTTATTTCCCAAATCTGAACTCTCTCTTTCTCTCTCAAAATTTGTCTCCCTCGACTCTCTCTTTTGAATCTCCACTCTCTCTTGCTCGAATCTCACTGTCTCTCTCACTCGACAGTGAAGACTTGAAGATTTGATCGATTCATAATCTTCTGTTGATGAAGATTTGAAGATTTCAATCTGCTGTTGATGAAGATTTTGATTGATTCATAATCGGTAAGCCTAAACACTTCTCTTTCTTTCTCTGTGACGTTTGACACATCTTCATCGCTCGAATCTTACTCTCTGTAATGTTTGACATATCTTTATCTATTAATCTGTAATGTGTGAATTGAAAATGAATTACTCTCTGTAATGGTTGATTAATCTGTAATGTTGGAAGGTTGATTGAATAATAATAGAATAAATCTCTCTGTCTCTGAAGGTTGATTGAATAATATTAATAATGTTGGAAGGTTGTTTTCAGATTTCCAAGTTTTGAATCTGAAGCTGCTAGCCAATGATGATAAATCGTAAATTGACCGAAATGCAAGTTTTTAATATCTGTCGTGGTGTTGAAATTCTTGAACTAGGATGATTTGAGAGCATCTCCAACCCACTAGGTATATTATGTTTGTTAGTCAAAATGCCTAGTATAATTCATTTTTTTCAACTCCAATGCACTAGGCATATAATTAGGCATTTTAGCTCAACTCACATTCACTAGCTACATGTAGCTAGCCTTTAAGGCTAGGCAAAATATATTTAATCATCAGGATCATTTCCCTCCATCTTTGTTGCTGATGTGGCATTTTATAAAATTAATAATATTTAGATGAATAGCTAAAATAAAGAGCATGGTTGGAGTAGAAATATAAAATAGTTGATAGGCAAAATAAAATATGTACTTTATAGTAATGTTTAGATAGGTAAAATACCTATTACCATTGGAGATAGCTAGCTAGTAAAACTCAAAGGAGTTCTTATTTCCAAGTATGTTCTGTTCTGCCATCAAAATCCATGGTGAAAAAAGGAGGAACTTTCGAATCTTAGTGCTACGATTTCCAACCTATGGTGATAAAAAAATAAAATAAAATAAAATCAATTTGTATCTATATCGATGTGTTGAGTACTGTACCAGCCATGGTATTGTTTTTATTACTGGTACAGTATGAATTGATACCGGTACTTTTCAAATACTGTTTCAGATTTATCAATGTATTATATATTTGTCAAAATATTATATTTGTTTATAAAATTTGATGAATTGACATTATTTAGTTTATTGGACTGTTCTTTAAATGAATTCAATATTCCTAAGGTTGCAGTAAATTTAAAATTAAAAACTAATTTGCACCTTTGTCATTAAAGATGAAATCCACCTTGCATTTAAAAAATAAATAAAGTTAAAAGAGTTTGTGTATGTTTCCAAAAGTTCAAAACTCGTCTCTCTCCATTACCTGTTCAAAGACTCCAAAGCATCCCAATTTTGTTTTCAACACTGGCCAAGTACAGTTTCTACATGGATGGAGATAGAAGAGTTGTGGAGCAATGTCCAGTGGTTGAGATGGTTTTGCTCTAGTTGTTAAAGATGGAGAGATTGAGCAGCTGAAAAAGCCTTCCCAATCTGACAAATGAAATACCAACTGTGTAGTTAATTCACCTTCGTTCAAGTCTGAAATATTCTGCTTCTCATTTTTCTTTTTATTTGTAACCGTTATTAACACTCGAGGTTGATATGGCAGGAGAAAAGGCAAAACTTTGCAGTATTCCTCAAATGGTCCGAGATAGGCCTGGAAATTTTTTAAAACAAAACTGATAGTATAGGGTTTATTTGATAAACTGGGTTGTACCTTCTGGTACAAAACGGTATTTACAACTTTGATCTGTATCCATTGCTTAATTTTCTGTTGAGAAAACCAGGCACAAGAACAGAAGATACAATGAGACTTGTACGTAGCTGATAGTCGAAGAGACTTTAAATTTTTTTCATTTCCTTTTTGTGGTATTTACTGCATTTTGTGTGATTATGAGTGGGCCTACTTTTAATTTCATAATCTAATGGTTCTTAACTATTTATGTTGTCTGTTATGATTCTTGATACGTTCCTTTCGGATAAATACAGAACTTAGAGCCTTGTGTTGAATTTGACACCGTTGCAGACAAAAAGCAGCAGCATGAAGTCAATGTTGGTAAGATACTCTACATGCTTCACCACTCTCTTCTCATCTTCTTCCTAAATAACCTTAGCTAGCTTAAAAACCAGAAAAAAGATAAGGAAAACCTTGCGGTATTTTGCTCATAATGCTAGTGTTGCATTCCTAGAGTGCTATATTGTGTGGTTGAAATTTACTGGCAAGTCACATCAGAAAAATTGATATGACTTGCCAGTAAATCTCAACCACACAATGTAGCACTTTAGGAAACTTTAGGGAAAAAGGCAGAAGCATGCAAAGACACGGCGGCAGTAAGCAGTACTTTTTTTGACTCCAAGGCGGCTGATCAGGGTCATGATGGACAAATTTGCACGCCTGGTTTTATGAAAAGTTTGAGTGGCTCAAGTCTAAATAGGGCTGGGCTGAGGTTGGAAGTGGTTCTGGGCCACAACAAGTTGAATAGTGAGTTGGGTGGGCTGAATGAAATACAGTGTGGGCCTTTGCTGTGTGACACCCATGCAAATGACATAGTTGTGGATGTTGGGCTTGCTCTTCGTGAGTCCAGTGAGTCTATTTCTTCTCAAACACAGAATGTAAGTATAAAACACAAGTCTGCAGCCTCGAATCATAAAGGTAAAGCAAAAGCAAAAGGCAAAGAGAAGATTAGCTATGCTCGGCCAAGAAAGGGGCTCCTAGGTCTGGAAAAAAGAATGGGGTCGAAGGGTGCATCAACAAGTAAATCTGCCCAAAACAGAGCTCTTTTTAGAGCATCCATGGCTGAAGCCTCACTATTAGCTTCAATAGGCAGTGGTGAAGATGGAGGCAGCCGTATTCTGGATGAAGCTCAAGCCTGTCTGCAAATGGGCAAATTGTTGGGTCTGGAGATGAATGGAAAGGAAGCCGAGGTTCTAGAAAAGATTGTGGAACTCGAAATTAAAGATATAGATAGGATTGAAAGGGGTAATGATGCTGAAGCCTAAGCTGTATCCACCAAAGGAGTTTCGTAGGTGTAAATTTGTTAAGTATGAAGCTGCTATCTTGGAACATCAGAGGATCTGGTAGACAGGGAAAGCGGGGGAAGATTAGGAACATTCTGAAAGTTAGAAATGTGGATATAGCTTTCTTTCAAGAAACCAAAAAACCTGCAATAGTAGAAAAGGAAGTGAGAGCAATGTGGGCCAGGAACAAAATGGATTTTTTGTCTGTAGACTCGGAAGGCCTAGCTGGGGGTCTTCTCTGCATTTGGGACTCAGAGGTCTTTCAGCTTAAGGAGTGTTGTTGCAATAGGCGTTTCATCCTGCTCTCAGGTTCCTTCTTTAATTCATTTGACTGTGTTATTCTCAATATTTATGCACCTAATGATGTGGAAAAAAGAGGTAAACTATGGGATTGTTTGTTGAAGTTAAAAAGGGAGTTCCCTAACCCTTGGTGCTTATGCGGAGATTTTAATGAGATAATAAGCATAGGTGAAAGGAAGGGTTGCTTCAGAAGAGATAAAGGAATGACAGAGCTAATTGAATTTATTGACAAATGTGAAGTGACTGATCTTCCTTTACTTGGCAGAAAATATACCTGGTGTAACTCACTAGCTGGAGACAGATGGAGTAGAATTGATAGGGTGCTAGTGGATCCTAAATGGTTGGAGGTGTTTGACTTAAAGCTTTGGGGCCTCCCAAGGCTCGTTTCTAATCACTGCCCTCTATTGCTTATGGAGGATGAAAGAGACAGGGGACCCAAGCCTTTTAGAACCATCAATGCTTGGAATCTCCACCCACTTTTTCCAGCTTTTGTGGCAAAGACCTGGAAGGAGGTAGAAGTTGCAGGTTGGACTGGGTTCGTTCTGCAGAAAAAGTTAACACTATTGAAGTTAGAGTTAAAGAAATGGCACAAAGAGGTATTTGGGTGTGTGAATGCGAAGCTAAAAGAAGCTGAAGAGGAACTGCATCTCCTAGATCTATCTGCCGAGTCTAGAGATTTAGATGATGTAGAGAAAGCCAGAAGTAGAGTAGTCAGGGATCAAGTATGGAGGCTAAGTAGAATGGTTGAATGGTTGTGGCTACAAAAATCAAGGCTCAATTGGAACTTGCAAGGTGATAGAAACACAAGGTTCTTTTATGTGATGGCCAAGGGTAGGCAAAGTAGAAATGAGATCTCTTCAATATCTGTTGGGAATGCTGTGTGTGAAGATCCTGCTCAAGTCAGGCTAGCAATTTTTTGCCACTTTAGAAAACTGTACACAGAGGATTGGAGAGGTAGACCTAAACTTGGTGGTCATTTCAAATCAATTCTTGATAGTCCTGGTTTTGAATCTTTGGAAGCAGAATTTATAGAGGTAGAAATCAGGGCAGCTGTGAAGGAATGCGATGGCAACAAAGCCCCAGGGCCAGATGGCTTTAACTTGGCTTTTTTTCAAAAATTTTGGAAAATGATGAAAGTTGATTTACTGGAGTTCTTCAAGGAATTTCACAGGAATGGAAAGTTGGTTCTGGGAATTAATAGCTCCTTTATTTCACTAATTCCAAAGGTTGAAAATCTAGTGGGGCTAGCAGACTATAGACCAATAAGCCTTGTTGTATCTATATATAAAGTTTTAGCAAACGTTTTGTCTAGTAGACTTAAAGGGGTGCTTCCTCACATCATCAATGATACTCAATCGGCCTTCATCGATGGTAGAAACATCTTGGATGGTGTCTTAATTTGTAATGAAGTGGCAGATGGTTGGAGAAAAACCAAAAGGAGTGGAGTGATTATCAAGCTCGACCTTGAGAAGGCTTTTCATTTTGTAAACTGGTGCTTCTTATTATCTATGCTTTCAAACTTTGGGTTTGGAATAAAGTGGATCAGTTGGATAAAAGAATGTATTACCTCTGCAAAACTCTTTGTGTTAGTTAATGGCTCTCAAACTGAGGAGTTTCCTCCTCAAAAGGGTCTCAGACAAGGCGACCCTCTACCACCCTTCCTTTTAAATATAGTAGCTAAGGGCCTTAATATACTTTTGTCAAGAGCTCAGCAGATTGGTCTGATTAAGGGGATGAAGGTTGGCTCTAGCGGGGTGTTGGTTTCTCATTTGCAATTTGCAGATGATTCCATCTTATTCTGTGAAGCTGAGGAGATGGAGGTGTGCAACATTAAGAGAATCCTAAGGTGCTTTGAATTGATTTCAGGGTTGAAAATAAATTACCATAAAAGCCAGGTGTGTGGAATTAATGTTCCTGAGGTGTCTTTTTCATGTTTTGCCACAGAGTTACATTGCAAAACCAAAGCATTTCCCATAAAGTATTTAGGGTTGCCTTTGGAGGCTAATCCAAATAAAAAGGCAACTTGGAAGCCAGTTCTTGACAAAGTCAGAGCCAGATTAGCAGGCTGGAAAAGGAAACTGCTTTCATTCTCTGGGAGACTCACTCTTTTAAAGTCTGTCACTTTTGCCTTGCCATTATACTACATATCTCTT